GTTTGGAAATTTATATGGTCTCTTCATGTACCACCGAAGATAAAACACTTTTGGTGGAAAGTTCTCCATAACGCTCTTCCAGTGACTGGAAACTTAGCTCTCAGAAATATAAAAATACAGAAAGAATGCAACTTCTGTGGTGAAGCTGAAGAATCTATCATGCATATACTTTTTCACTGCAGGGTATCAAGAGAAATCTGGGAATTGTCTCCTGTTCCTATCAATCCAGGTCAGTTTGTTCATAAATCTTCTCTTCTTGATATTTTCCAGGACCTTCTCAATGTGAAAGAGAGTGAGTCCCCAACAGACTGCCTATTTCCTTTCATTGGGTGGCGCATCTGGAAAGCTCGAAATGATCTTTTATTCCGAAACAAAAGATGGGCTATACCAACAATTATCCATCAAGCTATTATGGATTATAAATTGTGGAAGGAAGCCAGCAGTCTAAACCAGTCTTACAATGGAAAGCCTCAGGAACATAAAGACAGTAACAATCCTCAATCTCTACATAGAACCATGGATCAGTCTAACTCTTACTTTTGTTACACAGATGGTTCATGGATTAACTCCACTGACAAAGCAGGAATCGGATGGTCTTTGCACAACTATCAAGGTAAATGCCTTATCAAGGGCTCCTCATCTATAGACCCTACCATGACTGCGCTGGAAGCAGAGACCATTGCACTCCGGGAAGCTATCCTTCAAGTCAAGCGTTTAAATTATTACCCGGTTATATTTTGTGGAGACTCAAAGATTCTTTACAGGTGCTTAGATCAGCTAACAAATGGAGAGCATGCTGCTAAGGAAGTTGCAGAAATTCAAAGATACATCGAAGATATCTTGGCGCTAGCAAAAGGCTCTTACAAATTTAAATTTATAAGAAGAGAAGTCAATGTAATAGCTGACATGCTAGCTAGAGAAGGTAGAACGAATCAGACTCCTATGATTGTATCTTGTTTTTTTGATGTGTATCTTCTCATGTAACATACATCTAATATAATAGACCAGTTGGCCGACTAAAAAAAAAAAAAAAAAATTTCCAATACGTACTTATCTCTTCCACATGCTACACAACCACCATCAAAACAGAATCCAATGAACTCCTCTGTTCCCAAAACCATCAAACTCCTCGGCTGCTTTACTTAATCCACACCGTTCAAACTAACTAAACGTACACGTGTCAAACGATCAATTTACGGTACACTGATAATCCCATGCAACCGCACGCACACGGATTGATTAAGCCTCCCGCAAAAACCGGGTTTTTATCTTGTACGGTAACTGATACAGAAGCTTTAAAAACTTGGACGGATCGAAACACAAAACGCCAATGACGGCTGTCCAATAACAAACCGCCACGTGTATTCTCCTCACGAATCCGAGATTTTATTTTATATTCTTCAGCAAATCTCTCTCTCTCACTCTGCTTTGCTCTGTGTTTCGTTGTTTGAGCGTTGTAACTAAATGATCCATTGTCTCCATTTCATCGCTGCTAAAGTAGTTGAGTGGTTCTCGGAGAAGCTTCTCAGTAGCAGGAGAAGAACGACAATGGCGTTGACGAAGAGAGGGTCCGTGATGAAGTCGGACGGTGGATTTCACGGTGAGGAAGAGGAATTAGAGTTAGGTTTAGGATCAGTGAGGTTCACGCGAGGGTTAGGGAGGAAAAGGATTTTGATTTCGAGCTGTGTACGTGAATCTCTCTCTAGATCGGCCGTTGAGATTCCGGTGGTACCTGAATCGCCGCCGGTGAAGTGTTCGTTGAAGAGACAACGAAGCTGTAGAAGAACTATTGTTTCTTCTTCTTCTTCTTCTTCTTCTTCTTCCTCTGAGAAATCTCGACTCGAGTCTCTGCCTCAAGATCTCTTGGTAAATTTAAGTTTTGGTTTAAAGTTTCTTAATCTGTTTTGATTTGGTATGGTTTACTAATTACTAAGAAACTGAACTTTTTACAGATTCGTGTGATTTGTGGTGTGGATCATGATGATCTCAAGAGTCTTAAACTTGTATCTACATCAATCAGAGAAGCTGTAAGTTCCATTTATTTTATACCATTATTTGCACTTGGATGGATTGATTCAGATTTCAGTGTTCTTATTTGCAACTTTTGTTCTATATGTATAACAGAGTTTGATAGCCAAAAGGTTACATTTTGCGTACACAACACCGAGAAAGACTCGTGCTTTTCGCAACTCCATCAAGCTCGAGGAGATATCGGATCCGAGCCATCAAGAGGAAGACATAGAGCCTCCTAACGCACCGAATCACTATCGTTGGACCAAGGCCAAGAGGAAAGAGCAACTCTCAAGCGTCTCTGTGGCATTGTTTACTTGAAAGTGCATGTTGTTATGTGTTTGTAAATGGTTTGGTTCGAGTGGTGGTTAAGTGTTGTTACTTACACTCTTTCACTACTACTGTGAAATCCTCAGTGATGGTTATAGTTTATAGATTAGTTTGCATTTTGATTCAGAAGAATTTAGGGTTTTAGGGATGATTTTTGTATATAAATTCATCTTGCATACATTGGGAACTGGAAATGGTTTTTTCTGATATATGTATTTTAGTGTTATGGGTTTTAGTCAGAGACTCAGAGTATCCAAGGTTCTGTTTTTGTTTCTTGTTTGTCTTTACTCTTTAGATTGCAATAAGAAAAAATTATCAATTCCTATACTTATGTCAACACATTAAATTAACTTATTATGACTAACATTAAATTATCACCTAACTTTTTATCATCATTATATAGTAACATAATAATTAACATTCATGCATCAAAATACTCATCAAACATTTCTCTAGACACCGAACTTGATGATCATACAAAGTTCACAACTCCATAATAAAAATTCAAAGTGCATTTGATACACGCAAATGGTTATAGACTTATATTATATAATAGTCCTGTGGCTGCATACTGTTGATCTAATGAACTCTTAAGCCCACTGCATATTCATAAGACTGGTGTGTATGATTAGTTTTGACTTCAATGCATGAAATCTAAGTTATGAGAGAAAATGAAATATCATTTATGAAACTTACTTGAACATTTAATAGGATGGTGCATTCGATAGCAACTCTCCACAATAACAATTACTACAATATACGAACATATTGAAATTATTAAAATTAGGCCAATAATGTTGTTACAACAATGCTCTTTGTTACGATTGTGACTCTTTCTCTTTCTCTGTCTCTCTGGACACTGGATATATATATACGGGATTCCGAAGATGCATGTCATTGTCCTCTGCTATTGCCAATTATTCAAGTTTTCACCGGAAAACTAGAAAACCAAAAAACTATGATTGGTTGTCGAATAAAAAACAATATCTACTGCAATGAATTCTTATAGTACATCTTTGTAATCTATTTTCAATTTTACATCGAGAATAATAGTTATCTACGTTCAGTTTCCAATGCATGTTTACACATTCGATAGATTCTATATCGATCTACAGCTATCTTTTTCACTAAACGATGATTATATATCTAACATACGGTTAACTTTAACTTTTTATTTATCAAGATTTACATTTTATCCATACGTGATACGTCAACGTTCCCATATGCATCTCGATCTATGCCTCTCATTATCATTATCTAAATAGAATAGCTTTGTATCTACTTTAACCCATGCATTGAAAGAGACACAAGAGAAGAAAAGAGGAGGGGAAAAGGAAGAAGAAAAGTGATGGTCGTCTTAATTCCTCTTTATATAATGGTGTATCACAATCCAAAAACTAATTGTTCATTTGCTTTATAAACCTTTTTGGACAACCAATTCTGATAATCATTTCGTGGAAGTCAAGCTTAGGTGATGGATGTGGTCGGTCCAAATACAGTTCCATCTCACGTGGTCTATGTCCTTTAATTTGGGTCCATTCCTCCCTAATCATCAATACTTTGATTAATTTTGTCGACTTTTACAACCAAAATATTTAACTCAATTTTGTAATCTTTCATATATGAACCTAAGAAATTCGAAAGAAAAATTATACTCCTAATGAACCAAACCTAACGAAAAGTGAAACGTTCATGCCAAATTTTCTACTATTCTTCTTCTTTTATCACATGCATGTTCAAACTTCAAAGTGTCCAATTTTACAAAGAATTAAAACTATATGACATAGAAAGACATTTTGCAAAAGACCATTGCCCAATGCCCACACACGACACAACTACCAACTTTCAGGCTAGCTTTCACAATTCTCTATCTCAACAAACATAAAGCAAAACTACTTTGCTTTGTTTGATCGTTCATTATTACAAAATGTGTTATAGTGGTTGGATAAAATGCATGTGGAGAGAAAAAATAATTGAATGCAAAAAGATTGAACAAACATGTTGTGTGATGAAAATGAACGCAAAGTAAAGAAATGACACCATGCATGCAACTTCAATTATACGGTGGGGAAGTTTTATCAATCTATTCGTCAAAGTGGGCAAAAAAAACAAAAATTGTATCAATCTATTTAGATTTGTATTTGGTTATAGTGGGGAATACTATACGATTTGATAATTGAGTGACATTGAATACTTGTTGGATATTAACGACTAGAGACAATAAATATTCGATGATCAGGTATATACTGTAGATACATATAGATAGATTGTTTCATAAACACATTTAGGAGACTACAGTAGAAAATAATTTAAGAAAAGTGATATTTCCACAATTATATTTGTGGAAATTGTTCAAAATGGAATTTTCTTGGTCATTCCTAAACTTTTCATAGGTTATGTCAATATTATTTTTCCTTATCAACACTGATTCATTGTTTTTTAATTAAAAAAATATAATTGTCACGGTGAGTCAATATATTCAACCATTATAAACCTAGGTAGTGCAATTTATGAAAGTGATTTCAGTTTACGAAGTTAAACAAAGTTTAAGCGTAATTTAAAATTATTACTACTAACTCTACCAGTATTGTTTATTCTTGTAGCCTTTGTTGGGGGACCAAACGATCATCTCGGTAACTAAACAGTTAAGTTAGTTAATCTGGTTATTGGGTAAATTACATGTATCATCATCTCCTGATTATTCCCAAATACACATATTCTTACAAAACTAATCAAAGTTAAAGTTAAAGATTAATGTACTAATTAGTTAAGTTATATATCTATATCAAAGTTAAAACGATATTTAAGTTAGATTTATACAGAAGAAAGAACAGAGAGAGGTATCATCTGAAAGATTTTTGTTCCTTGTAAAAAATATATTAAATATAAATTTTGTGATAACAATTTCAGAAATTTTTCTTGTTTAGACTTTTAATTTTTCATTTTGTTGCCAATTATATAGTTTCCATGAGAGTGAACCACGTCGTCTACGCAAAAGTTTAAATTTTAAAAATTCGTAGCCTTTTGTCATACGCACTTTAAAGCCTTTTCACATTTCCCAAACCAAACAACACCCCAAGAAACAATTCTCAATTCCCTTTGTAAAGAATCAAGACAATACGTCATTATGTCTTGTATGGGTTAAAACTGAAATATTCTTCTCTGTTATTACTCAACATGTATATGTATTCTTTTTCATCATTATGTATGTATAATTAAGCTAATGCGTGAATGAACTTATCTACAAATCCAAATTGCGTGAATTAATTCTAATGTCTATCTATTAAATTCAAAGATTCTATATTAATTAAACAAATTCAATGCTTCAAACAATGAGAATTAAATAAGTGTTGACTACCTTTGAAACTGTTTAAAGAAAGACAAAACCCATTCTCGGGGCATTTAAATGCAACGACAACCAAAGTCTCTCTTCTCTGTCTCTGTCTCTCTAAATAAGCTTCAAAGTTCAAAACACCGTCACACGACGACGACGCCATGGGAGAAGAAGCTGTACAAGTCTCTTCTTCTTTCTCTCATCCTCTCTTCTCTTGTTTCATCACTCTCTACAGTCTCTTCCTCATCTACTTTCCCAATGATTCGTTTCGAATCTTTCTCTCTCCTGTTCTTCTCATCTCCGGAGCTCTCCTCTTCTCTCTTCTCCGTCTCGGGTCGACCCGAAAATCCAACACCCGACCCGATACAAGCAAGGTGAATCTCGAGGAGAGTGAAGAATCTCACAAGGTTGTTTCGGTTGGCGGTTCCGACACGAAGCCGGCCGATTTGATGGGTGGTTTTATGGAGTGGAACTTGAGAGCTCCGTTGGAGGTGATTCACGAAGCTTACGAAGAGAACGATGATGATGAAGAAGAGGAGAACCCGGGTGGGGAAAAAGACCCGACGACCCGGTTTAAGGGAATCGAGAGATACCCGTCGTTGTCTCTGTGTTACCCAGAATCAGATTCGGAATCGGATTCTGGTTCATCGTCGGAATTCAATTTCCCGGAGATGGGTGAATGGAACTCGCCGGAAAACATGGGATTCAGGTGGGAAGACGATGGGATTGGAGGTGAAGGTCTGATAGAGATTAAGCTGGACGAGCATAATAATTACAAGAAGATGCTGAGTAAATGGAACCAAACAGAGTTGGATTTTCATGGAGAAGAAGAAGATGGTTTGATCGAGATCGATCTTTTTGCTTCTCATTAAGCATTTTCGGATTACAAAGAAAAAAAAAAAAAGATAAAAGTTTTTTATATAATTAAAGCAACATTTTAATGGTCACTTCATTTTATATACTACAAAATATATCATTATGGTATGTTTATGTATATACGAGGATATTAATCACAGTTTTGAACTTATTAATTAAATCTCTCCGCATAATTAAAGAGTTTCGAATCTATTCACTACCCATCGTAATCTTTAACCAATACGACGTCGACGGCATGATGATACGGCAGCGTATTGGATACATGCTTAAAATCTTGGAAAATAATGGCGATTTCGTTTTTAGTTTCCTTTATAAAATACCAACAATTTTTATTTGTACATTCAAGGGAATTAATTGACTAGCAATATAATGAAGCTACATCTCTAGGTGGATGAATATAATAAATGAAATAATGCAATCTAAAGCCAACAAATCCCAAGATCACCTTCATATTCTTAAAAATCTAAGACGTTGCAATTTTTTAAGTCATGTAGGAGATGTTCTTCCTAGTAAGGTTTTCATTAAACTCATCATAAAAAAAATCAGTTGAATTTTCTTGATCAGAGATATAACGAGATTACGAGATGGTGGTAGTTCTTTTTTGTTGGTCAAGAGTCATGATAACAAATATTCTAATTTATAGATATGTCTATACTCTATACATCGCATGAGAGAACAAACATTGTGGTGCAATGTCCCATAATGGAAAAACCTTTTAGGTCATAAAAGGTTGGAGCAAGATTCACAAACACAAATTTACAACAAGGAAATAGGGTTGTTCACGCCTAAACAGGTTTTATTCATCGACAAGCGACATCAACGGCGGAGACGGCCGGGTTTTTTTTTCTTTTTTTTCTTTGCTTTTTGGTGTGAAAAATATTGGATATTTCATTGAAAATAAATATAAACAGGGGTTTCTTCTCAATCATGAACATTCTCAAAGTACCAACATTCCTAAACTGAGTTTTTTTTTTAATAAACTTAAATTATCCTAAATTGTTTAATTATGCCTTTTTTGTTCTGTTTGATGAAATGAAACATTGTCAAAAAAGAAACATGAGGAAGCTAAAGAGTTAAATGCTCTGTAGACTGTGTAGTAAACAACAATAAGCTAGGTTTGTTTAACCATAAGCTAGAGAATTAATATTATGACTTCATACAAAGACAGATGCACAATATAAGATCTTAACACCATATGATGGGTTTGAGAAGGGATCAACTTTAAAGACAACATTGGACCACTTAATCTTCCCCCAAGTCTCGCCTCCCTCGCGCCTCTCCACATAAATCTCGGCAGACCAAAGGTCTAAACTCTCTGAGATCCAGAAGATAACAATGTTTCCAGCTGAATTGTTGCAGAGTTTGACTATATGAAAGGAATGCCTTGAGCTAGAGAAAGAGTGTCGCAGCTCTTCCAAACCTTTCACTTCCTTCCAATCCCTCAATTCATCTAGCTCACACCATAAGATTTTTCCGCGAGTACTACGATAGTACACTTGTTTCTCAATGATACACCAATCGGTTTTGCTTCCTATCTCATCACTTGCCAAGAAGTAGAAGCTTCCATACTCCTCATATAGCGGTGAATCCTGCTTCCTCTCTATAACCATAACCACATGATCTGGGATATCGTTATTGTGTGGTGTATCAATATCCCAACTTTGGTTTGAACGAAAATGAGGGGTCCAAGTTTGAGTCTTTGGATCAAATACCTCTGCCGATGTATCGTAATTCTTGGACCCTCCAAACACGTATATTTTTCCATCAACCGAGCTTGCCAATGCGGAAGCTCGAGGCATATTCATGGACTTGAAGCGGTGCCATGTATGAGAATAACAATCGAGGAAAGAGACATCCGAAGTACGAATACGATCCTTAGTGAGTCCACCTATAACATAGATCCCACTCTCCACCACCACGAAAGAAGATGAATGGGGAGGCTGATAAGGGTTCGATGGGATGGGTTTCAGCCTTCTATTAGGGCTAAGGATGAACCAGCTTGGAGTTCGGTTAGGAAAAACGCGCATGCATACGTAAAGATATGCGTTAGTGCAACCCATCTCCCATCTCAAGTAGAAGAGCTCAGGGGAAGCTAAGAGAGAGTGGTGGCTCTTGGAGACGAGAGACAAGGCCGCGTGGTCAACTCTGGAGACGCGAGCCAAACATCTTAGAGCTATCTCATCTGGTAACAAAGATAACCCAGACAACTCTGGAGACGTCTTCTTCCTCCTTCTACTGTCCGATGGCACTTCTGGAGCGTAAGAGTTGAACATCATCGTCTGTTGAATGATCAGTTTCAATTCACAACAACGCAAAATTGAGGAACCTCCTCCTCGATTTTTGTGAGATCTCTCTATGATCCGGACAGAAACTGTTTTATAGAGAGATTTGTGGTAACTAGGAATAGGATTAATACCTTTTTTTTTTTCTTCTTTTGTTGATAGAGTTGCCGATTACTTTCCTTTATTTAGTGATTATCAGAACATATATTATATATTTAAGACGTCAAAGAAAACATATATATACTAGTTGAATAATTTTTATTAACTAACTGATTATATTATTTAAATATTGAATAATGCATGATATAATGTATGATTTGACTAATTTATTTTAATCGGATAGTTGTGTGTAATATTAAACTCTTAATTTTTGAAAATATGTATCAAGATTTTTTTTCATGAGTAACACCTATATGCATTTTTTCTTTCGTATTGAGTCCCAAATAATACATATTCTTATCATATTTATAAAATAACACATTTATAATGTATGTTTTGACGGATCAACCCATAAAAAACTGCATTTGTAAAATATGAATTTTCTAAAAATAATACCCACATTAAATAGTTTATTAGCACTAACCTTAAAAGAGATTGCATTCATCTTGGAAAAATATACATTCATATTGTATATTTGATGGACCAACCCGTAAAAAATTGCATTCATAAATATATCAATCATAACACATTCTACCTAATAAACTATATAAAATTTTATAATTTTTTATATTTAAAAAAGGGTATTTTTGAAAATGAATAGACAAATGAGATATTTTAAAAAAAAAGTACACCAAAAGGAGTATTTCTCAAAAAATTTCAATAATTAATCAACATAATTGACGTATTTATTTTCTTTTATGGTTTTCATATATATTTTTGATTATATGTCATGTTTGTTTAAAATTCATGTTTATTTAAAATTTTATGAAATACAATAATTTTAAAATTTTAAAATAATAAAATATTAAAGAACCCCATAGCTCTTACCATTGGAGAACTATAAATTTAAAAACCTCAATATCATCTCTTCTCTTCAAACTTTACAAAATTAATAATAAAAATATAAGCAAGAGTGCCAAATGGGTCTTTCTTGTTGTGGTTGCTCTAATATGCTATAGCTGAAACTCATCAAGTACACCCCCACGTCCAATATAAGTCTATTATTTACAGTGCTTAAATGCCATATGAGAAGGGACGACAACTAATGACTCACCACTAGGCTATAGTGGCACTTCTCAAAATTCAACTTTTCCCAATTAATACTTCTAGTTTACATTATTAACACTAATTAGTTTAAAATGTAGAGAAAAGTAACTTTTATAGAACCAGCAAAAAGATATTTAAAAAAACAGTCTTTTGAGAAACAGGTGCAATAGTTGAAAAAAAGTTAAAACTTCATACATAGACAGAAGCAGAATATAAGATCTTAACACCATATGATGGGTTTGAGAAAGGATCAACTTTATAGACAACATTGGAGCACTTAATCTTCCCCCAAGTCTCGCCTCCCTCGCGTCTCTCCACATAAATCTCGGCAGACCAAAGTTCTAAACTCTCTGAGATCCAAAAGATGACAATGTTTCCAGCTGAATTATTGCAGAGTTTGATTATACGAAAGGAATGCCTTGAATTAGAGAAAGAGTGTCGCAGCTCTTCCAAACCTTTCACTTCCTTCCAATCCAATTCATCTAGCTCACACCATAAGATTTTTCCGCGGTTACTGCGACAGTACAATTGTTTATCAATGATACACCAATCGTTTCTGTTTCCTATCTCATCACTTGACAAGAAGTTGAAGTTTAGACCCTCCTCATATAGCGGAGGATCGTTATTCCCCTCTACAACCATAACCACACTTCGTGAGATAGGTTTATTATTGTCTGGTGTATCAATATCCTTACTTTGTCGTGAACCAAAAAGAGGGGTCCAAGTTTGAGTCTTTGGATCAAATACCTCTGTCGATTTATCGTAATCCCTAGACCCTCCAAACACGAATATCTTCCCGTCTACCAAAATTGCCAATGCGGAAGCTCGAGGCATATTCATGGACTTGATGCGGTGCCATGTATGCGAGTAACAATCTAGGAAAGAGACATCCGAAGTGCGAATACCATCCTTAGTGAGCCCACCTATAACATAGATCCCACTCTCCACCACCACGAAAGAAGAAGAATTGGGAGGCTGATAAGGGTTCGAAGGGACGGGGCTCAGCCGTCGGTTAGGGGTGAGGATGAACCAGCTTGGAGTTCGGTTAGGAAAAACGCGCATGCATACGTAAAGATATGCGTCAGTGCAACCCATCTCCCATCTCAAGTAGAAGAGCTCAGGGGAAGCTAAGAGAGAGTGGTGGCTCTTGGAGACGAGAGACAAGGCCGCGTGGTCAACTCTGAAGAAATTGAAAGATTTTGTGATTTTATTGCTTTCAACCTTAGTTTCCAAATACAGCCCATATTACATATTTATAGCATACAAAGGATTAACCTAGAGTATCCAATGATTGCTGAGCTGTCTTTTGGTTTTGATTTCACGCGTCTTGGTCGTTGTCTTGTAGCATCTGAAATCTGTTGCTCACCTTGACCTCTGTACGATTTGGTGATAAGGCTCCCTCTGCAAATGCTCTGCTTTTGTCTTTTACTGCAGGTGACCGTTGCAGAGATTTGCTTTCATAGGTGGGCTTGGACAGTTGCGGAAGCGCTTTGGGCTTTTCTGATTTGAGGCCTTTTTGCAAAGCCTTGCCGTTTTGTGGATTGCTGTTGATACTCCCCCGCAAACTTTGAGTCGGAGGAACAACGACACCAAGTTTGAATCTCAGAGCTTCAAAAGGACCTTTGTCGAGAGATTTGGTGAAGATATCAGCCAATTGGTAGTCGGCTGATATGTGATAAACGATAAGCTCCCGAAAGGCGACCTGTTCCCTCACATAGTGAAAGTGAGTGGCAAAGTGTTTTGTGCGAGCATGGAAAGCCGGATTAGCAGTCAAGTAGACAGCAGAGAGGTTGTCACAGAACAGTTCCGGCGTCTCTACTTTTGTAAAACCCAGATCACGAAGAAGATTTACCAACCATGTGATTTCTGACGCTGTATCAGACATGGCTCTGTATTCTGCTTCAGTGGAGCTCTTGGACACTGTTGGCTGTTTGCGAGAGGACCAAGAGATGATATTGTTTCCAAGGAATGTACAGAAACCCCCAGTTGATCTTCGTGTGCTGTGACATCCTGCGTGATCACTGTCACTGAACGCACGAAGGTTGAAGTCAGTGTTTTTGTTGAAGGAGATCCCCATGGTTGTAGTGCCTTTAATGTATCGAAGAATGCGCTTGAGCAGGTGGAAGTCAGACACTGTTGGAGCATGCATCTTCTGACACACAAAGTTGACAGCAAATTGAATGTCAGGTCTTGTGAGGGTAAGATACTGCAATTTCCCTGCCAAGCTTCTGAAATATTTGGGATTCTCAAAGAGTTCTGCTTGATGAGGAACTTTGTCCAATTGCTGAGGCAGAGGTGTGGATACAGTTGAGCAATTTGCCATGGCAGCACAGATGAGAAGATCTTCAGCATATTTCTGTTGAGACAAAAACAAACCCTGTGAGTGAAACTGAGCTTGAATTCCCAGAAAGTAATGTAATTTACCCAGATCTTTCATCATGAACTGTTCATTCAGAGCAGTGAGGAGCTCATTGAGGAGACTGGAGTTATTTCCAGTGATGATCATGTCATCAACGTACAAGAGAAGCATGATAACATCCTGATTCTTGTAACAGACAAAAAGAGAAGGATCCCTGATGCTGCAAACAAACCCAAAATCAAGGAGAAAGTTGCTGAACTTGTCAAACCAGGCCCTTGGTGCCTGTTTGAGACCATAGAGGGATTTATGAAGAAGGCAAACATGATCAGGGTGATCTTTGTCTATGAATCCAGCTGGCTGCTTCATGTAAACTGTTTCTGTCAGATCCCCATGAAGAAAAGCATTCCTTACATCCATTTGCTTTAATTCCCAATTCATGACTGTTGCAAGATGAAGAACAGCTCGTACTGTTGCAGTTCTGACAACTGGACTGTAAGTTTCAAGGTAGTCTATGCCTTCTTCTTGTTTGAAGCCTTGAGCTACCAATCTGGCTTTGTACTTATCCAATGAACCATCAGCATTGAGTTTTAATCTGAAAATCCACTTGGAGCCAAGAACATGCATGTCAGAAGTATAAGGAACAAGAGACCATGTTTTTGTTACCTGACAGTTGTTCATTTCTTCATTCATGGCTTCTGTCCATTGAGGATGTTTCAGAGCTTCAGTGACAGTGGCTGGCATAGGATAGGAGACTTTGTGACTTAGGAGAGCATACCGGTTATTCGGTTTTGTTATACCATCCTTGGACCTTGTTTGCATAGGATGATGAGATTGTGAGTTACTCGCTGCATTACCTGAGGTAGTTGTCGGAACACTAGCATTGTCAATGATTGCTTCAGTGTTTACAGAACTCTCCTCTTCATTTATAGGTGAAGGCTCAGAAGACTCTGTTGTTGCA